GTGATTCTTTGAACATAAAGTTCACTTGAACCCAACAAAATTCCTCTCTTGGATACTTTCCCCAAGAATTCATATGAGATTATTATAAATATTACCTATTTTAAGTGTCACAGTTCCAGAAAATTTGCACAATTCTAAAGATCCTGAAGCTGCTAATAATAAAAAAAATTATCAATTGCTGCTGTGCAAATCTTCATTTCTTAGACGATATTGTATTTTAGATTAAAGCTAAAGATATTTCCCTAGTTTAAATAATATTAAAAACACAAAGGAACAACTTTCTTGTGTTTAAGCACTGTTTCTTTAACATTCAATATAAATAATAAATGTCCTAGAGTTACTAAAGCAGAGTATGTTCCAAGTTTTCAGGTATTTGGAGATGTCAGGCTAGCCCAGTTTCACAGCTACATATATCAGGGCAGTTAGCAATTTTTTTGATGGAATACCACAGGACAAAAAAATTCCCAAGCGTATCAGTACAACCAGCCTGTTCTCTAGCAGAATGCACATTTACACACACACACCAGAAGGACAAGAAGTGCATGTGGTTTGGAAGAAAAGAAGCTACAGAATCCAATGTAGCAATGTACAGCATCCACTTTATATTTACACCATGTTTATATACATGCACATATACATAGAGATACATTTATATACAAACCCAAAATTTCAGGAGAACTGTAGTGGCAATTTCCCCTGAAGGACAAAATCATTCTAGATTTCCCTCTTCCATCAACCACACTGTTGACGCACAACAGTACCCTTCCTATTATTCTTCCATCAGTTTAGGAACAGAGCATGTCTTTAAATAGCAAACATCTTATCCATATTGATAACAGTAGCCTTAAAACAGGTAGTGCTAGGCACTGAAAGAGCACAAATCCCACCTGAATTCCCCCACCAGAGATCATTTTATCATAACTGTTCCCTCGAATATGAAGTGAAACATTTTTTTGCTTCAACATAATTTATGATGTCACTCAGTTTCTTTTTAAACATATAAATATTCAGAAAAATATTTGATGCACCTTCATGTGAAGCTCTAGAAATTTGAATGCTACATTTCCCAAGCTCTGAGAAGAATGGTGAGAGGTTCAGCAAACCCTAAACTAGTCCACTCTCCTTGAAATATCTGACAGACAGGTATTTCATTCAAACAGGTTCTAAGCAAAAGCAAAAAATAAGGCAATTGAGGTCACCATTTCCTCAAATTATCAGACACCTTGTCTTTCACCAATCTTTTCAGACTGGTGCACTTTGCATGGTGTGAGGAAAAGGCAGGCACAGCAGCTCCATAAACTTCAAAACAGAGCTTGGGGGTTGGGTGCCTAAGGGAATACAGCTTGGAGAAGGGATGGGCACGAGGCTGTTCAGAGCCCAGTCCAGGCAGGAGAGAGGCAGAGGCTGCCTGGGGTGAAGGCTTGCCAATTGCTGTAAGGAGGCAGCACCCCACACTGGTTCAGCCCCTCAACCCTCTTCCAGGCTCTGCAGCTCTCAGTTAACTTGCCCAGAAGTCCTGTCATCTCTGTTGCTCACAAACCAGCTCCCAGTGGGAGTATGTAGGGTATGAGAGAAACAAATGCCAAGAAAACTGCCTCTAGAGAGGTCTTCTGCTCCCTTACACATTTCATAATAAAAATCAAATTGGGGAAAATAAAAAAAAACAAACAAACACTACAAATATTCCAAGAGAATTGTGTGCTACCACCTTTTTTAACCCTTGTAGCAGCTTCTATTTTTACCAGCTTGGAATTAACAGAAACACACATCTTTCAGCAACTGATAAGGTCAAAACAAATTTCATTGGATATTTACAGAAAGAGTGAATAACAGTTTCTGGGAAAAAACAGTCACTTCATATATAAACATACTTTTGAAAATGGATACAACTAAAGTAAGCTGCAGCAGTGCCTGAAGCACAGGAAGAAAATATACCACTTCCTTTAGCAGATGAGTCAACATACAACCATTTGGTGTTTTGTTCTGGTTTAGGTTGTTTGGGGGTCTTTAATTTTTTTCTTTTTTTTTTTTACAGGAGACAATCTTGAAGGCTGGTGACATCTCCTTCACTATGAAGGGCTGATGCACTTGCCCACTTGACTAGGTATGAAAAAAAGCAACACTTAAATCATAGCTGGGGATTGAATAGGAGAAGTAAGGACCAAGCAAACAAAGGATCTGAAGAAGGGGATGTCTCAATCTCACAATCTCTTTTTCAGTCCCAAAGCTGGCAACATGGAAAGTGCTGTATTTTACTTAAGGCATGAAGCACCATCTCCTTCCCTCACAGGTTAGCTACCAGAATATTTTTGTATCTGAATACCAACTATGCAGGAATGAACAACAATACACATCCAATCAAAACAATGATTTCTTCTATAAATCAAACCATTTTGGGAAGAAAACATAATTTTAATTTTTAGGTTATATTTTTGTTGTTGTTGTTGTTGTATTTAATGTGTTTGGCAACTCTTTCATAAGACATAAGACAGATAACAGCAAAAATAACTCTGCCTGCTAGTAGACAGCTTTTCACTTCTAAAGTACTCCAGTAAATGACAATTTATTTTTGGGGGATGCAGGGATGGGGAGGCTTGGTGAGTGATTGGTCAGTTGGTTGGCTGGTTGTTTTTTTTAGGTACTTTGGTGGAACATAGACAGTGACAGAATGAACAGCATATGACCTCAAAATGGGAAAAGGTCTTTAGTCAATTATTCTTTCAAAATATTCAAGTTGACAAAATTCTCAATATTGTGTGAGTTTGTTTTACTTTACTAGAATAGGCACTGAGGTATTAGCTTTTTCCAGGTAGGTAAAAATATGGAGAAGGCTAGGGAAACAATACCATAAAATTTAGCACTTTTATAACTAGACAACACAAAGTATTTGATGACTGACTTTCACATGGTAGGAAGATGTTGGTAAAAATAAAGGGAAAACTTAGTTTAGCCTTCATATATGCAAACTCCTTTATTATTTATCAAGTTCATAAAGAGTATTATTAAAAGCTGGACAAAATGTTGGAGCAAGTGCTTCATTTCTCTAATCAAAGGTATTTCATTTCAGGATTATTTAATGTATTTTTACTCTTGTACTTGTGCATTTTAAGTAATTAAATGCTAAAATGTAGTTAAAAAAAACCAAACCCATTTATTGAAAAGTAAGTGTGGGCTTGATCATTGCTGCCTCTGTTTCAGTTTGTTTTATGGGCAATACCTAATTTGCAGTGAGGCTGGAAAGCACTCACTGATAGGGGCAAAACCGCAGTCAAATTTTTGCAGTGGAAAAGGACTTGGGGGTGCTGGTGACAGCAGCTGGACATGAGCCAGGGTGTGCCCAGGTGGCCAAGAAGGCCAATGGCATCCTGGCCTGGATCAGCAATGGTGTGGCAGCAGGACCAGGGCAGGGATTGTCCCCCTGTGCTGGGCACTGGTGAGGCCACACCTCAAATCCTGCTCTGCACCCTGCAATTTAGGAAACATATCGAGGTGCTGGAGCAAGTCCAGAGAAGGACAATGGACGTGGGGAAGGGTCTGCAGCACAAGTCCCGTGAGGAGAAGCTGAGGGAGCTGGGGGTGTTTATCCTGGAGAAAAAGAGGCTCAGAGGTGACCTTATCGCTCTCTACAAATGCCTGAAAGGAGCCTGTGGCCAGGTGGGGTTGGCCTCTTCTCCAGGCAACCAGACAGGAAGAGAGGAAATAATCTCATCCTGTGCCATGGGCGATCTATGTTGGATTTAAGACTGTTCCGCGAAGCATTTTACAAAACACTTCACAAAACATTGTTTCAAATTGCTTCACGGAAAGGGTGATTAGATCTTGGAATGGGCTGCCCAGGAAGGTGGTGGAGTCATTGTTCCTGGAACTGTTTAAGGAAAGACTGGACGTGGCACTCAGTAATATGGTTTGGTCGACATTGTGATATTCGGTCATAGGTTGGAACCAGAGGTCTTTTCCAAAAATGATTGTAATTGACTGTAAATTGATTCCGTAAATTCTGAAACACAGGGTCTCTCCCTGGGGGATGGACCGGCACTGCAGACGCCAGACCCTTCTGTTATCAAAGAGCTTTCAGGGCCACACCAGCCCAAAACTGCAGTCCCAGCCAACAATGACAGCAGGGCTGGCGGTGTCCGGCCGGATCGGGGGCCGGGTGTCCCGGGCCGGGTGTCCCGTGGGGTCGGGCGGCACGGCACGGCGCGGCGCGGCCCGGCGCGGCGCGGCCCGGCGCGGCACGGCCCGGCCCGGCACGGCCCGGCGCGGCCCGGCACGGCGCGGCCCGGCACGGCACGGCCCGGCGCGGCACGGCGCGGCACGGCGCGGCGCGGCCCGGCACGGCGCGGCACGGCCCAGCGCGGCACGGCGCGGCACGGCACGGCGCGGCACGGCACAGCCCGGCACGGCCCGGCGCGGCCCGGCGCGGCGCGGCGCGGCACGGCCCGGCACGGCACGGCCCGGCACGGCACGGCCCGGCGCGGCACGGCACGGCCCCGGCCCCGCTCCGCGCCCCCCGCCCCGCGCTGCCCGGGGCTGCTCCCGGCCCCCGGCCCGCGCCGCTGCGCCTGCGCGGAGGGCGGCGCGGGGCGGCCATGGCGGCGGCGGCGCTGCGGCCGCGGGTGGCGGCGCTGGCCCGGCGGCTCGGCGCACCCGGGGCCCGCGGTGAGCGGCCGGGGGCGAGGGGACCGGGGGTGGCGGCGCGGGCGGCCCCCAGGGCATCTTGGCAAACGGCGTGTGCGCTTGAGAGCATCAGAGCCTGGCCGGTGCTCATCGGTGCTAAGGGAGCGTTGTGTTCTTCCCTCAGATACCTTCTTGGAGAAAGGCTCTGCTAATCTGGACAAGTTGAAGGACCTCTGCAACGAAGGGAAAGAGCACCCTTCCACGCTTTTTCAGCTCTATACCCAGGTATTTGTTACGGGCATCAAACTGCCTCTCAAGAAAATGCGTGTAGGGAGTGGGAGGCGGTTTGGTGTAAAAAAGGAGGGTGGGGCAGAAAGGCAGCTCGATTATTTGGGGGTGTGTGGTGAGCATCTGTGAAGCACAGAACTGCTTTTGACTTGGATGACTTGGAGTCGTTCATGCTGTTACTTTAGGGACAGAAAGGGATTTCGCTTGATATTCACCATCACTAATCCTTCAATACTTCTAACTTGCACATTTGGTCAACTAGATGTTAAAAAATACCTTCAAATTGTAATGTTTTATAAACTAACATTTTTTTCTATGTCAACACACATCCATTTGATTATTTTGATGGTAGCATTTCAATTTTGTATATGTTCTTGTTTTCATAGGCTGTCTTAGACATTACATATTTTGAGGAAAACCAGCTTGTGGATGAAGATTTTCCAGAAGAATCTGCCTTGCAAAAACTTAAAGAACTTATTTCCATTCTTTCAGAACCAGAAGACCTAGTGAGGGAATGCAGCATAAAAGAAGTGAGTAGTCAGAGGGTGAATTATTTCATTATTTAAAAATGAAAAGTCTGGAATGGGACATAGTGTTTGTATTTTTGATGGGCAGAATTTAAAGTATTTTGAAACATTTTCAAGTCTCTTTGGTATTTAAATAGTGATTACTGAAAATATTGTTTCAAATGCCTTGTTGCGAGCTCAGAATTTATCTTGCTAACATTTCATGATTCCACAGGCAGTTAACACTTCTATTTGACCTACAATATTAGGTTAGGCTAGGCTTCTGTCTCTGTTGATGTCAAACACAGTCCCTGAAGTACGAGATTTATGCAGTGTTTGCATGTGTGCCAGTGCTTATAAGTAGTTCAGGTGGTTTATTTTTGTGTTAGACCAGTTTGTTTGATTTTATTTCAGCCCATCGACCTTCTTGGTGCAGAGTTGTTAGAATGTCTCTACTGGAGAAAAGGAGCCCTGCTTTACATGTATTGCCACACAGCAAAAGAAAGGGGTGAATGGCTACAAGAAAATGTTGCCACATTTAAAAAGGTAAAGGACATAAAAATGTTCTATGAACTTGTGAATACAGCATTAAAGTTTGATTGGTCACTTTTAAAATGTGGCTGGGTTTTTTGTTCTGTTTTTTTTTTTTTTTTTTTTTTTTTTTTTGTTTTCTTTAATTGGGATTTTGGGGCTTCATAGGAAGTATTGCTGCATATCATTAATTTAACGAGAACTTATTTTTTCCTTATTTTTAACTGTACTCAGTGTCTTAATGATGGAGTTCAGTACTTGATGAAGATGCTTAGCGTTAGATGCCCTCTTCAGCTAGATGAAGATATCTCACTTCAAGATAAAGACACAGCTAGATTACTCAGTGAAGGTAAAAAACCCCAAAAACTAACTCCAAAAAACCTTTTAACCCACTCTTATTTAATAACTGCTTCATTTTATGAAATGAAACTGCTTCAATTTTTGTGTGTTTTTATTGTTTGGCCTAGTTTATGTTCAAGACTTAACACTTTTTAGAACAAGAAGATAATAAATGAGGCAAATAAGCAGGCAAGAGTGGCCCCGCTTTTTTCTTTTTTGACTCATGAATTTTAGGAGGTGTCAGTGCTCATTTTCCTGGTGTTTTATGGGTGTTCCTGGAGTGAGGTGAATTGAGGCAATGAGTGTTTGATGTACAGTAGTGTTTTACAGTGGCAGCGTTTGTACACAGTATTTTATTGTGAACCATCCAGTTCACAGCTGACAGACGTTGAAGGCACTAACGTGACTGCAGAGGGTGCCAGAGGTTCACATATTGATGTTTCCTTTTAGCTCTAGGACAGCACAGGTACAAACACAATTACAGACTTCTCACAGGTAAAACTATAAGCAGAATTGGTTAGATTTGGCAAATGTTCTCTGTCACCACTTTATGTAGCTTTATGTAAAGTTCATTCCTATTGAGTGTTTCTAGGAGGATCTTAGGCTGCATCAGTGTGATGCAGGTAGGGTGATACAGCAGCAGGGAATTTGTGAGGTAGACCAGCTGGTGCTAAGAACATGATGTCCACGTTGAGCACACTCAAAAACACCTCTACTCTGACTGTAGCAGGATATGCAGCACCTTCTTGTTTAACGTAATCTGAAAGTGACATTACGGTTATATAGCTCCGTAATGTAAAGTCAGATTGTGGATTTATTTAGCAGGATTTTTTTTTTTTTTTGGTGAAAGACACACGTGTGCCTTTGAATTCAAATGCTAATAAAGCTGCTGCTGGTTCACCTAAGTTAAGATGACCTCAGACAGTATCTTTTAGGCTTAAACCTGTGGGAGGCACAGAAATACTCCAGAGTAAATATGTACAGTCATGCCTGTGTTAAAGAGGCTGTAAAGAGATACTGAAATTCTTATGAGATAATTAGGCAAACAAAATTATAGAAATAATATTTATACGACAGTCTTAAAATATTTTAACATTAAGGAGGGTCAAACTGTGCAGAGAAATGAGCATGGTCTTGATCCATGGTTTTCTTCTGGGAATTATGTATTTATATAATTATATACTTATACTGTCTTTTTGGAACTTTCTTCCCCATTGTTACTGAAAAAGAATTAACAAGCTCGTTAATACTTTTGTGTTAATACTTAATGTTAATACTTACTTTTGTGTTAATACTTTCTTATAGCAGAAGACTGAAGTACTTGATCTAAATTATTTTTGCAGGTATATTTAGTGACACTCACTTACTGGCAATGATGTACAGTGGAGAAATGTGCTACTGGAGACTGAAACACTGTGGAGCAGTGGAAGGGAAGCAGGAAAGCCTTGAGTCAATGGACCCTGTGTCTGGCAGTGACCTGGACAGCAGATCCCAGAGCATATCGCTGGATTTCCAAGAAACAGGGAGAAACATGTTAACAAAGTATGTGGCTGTATGTGAGGGACCCTTAAAAGGTCAAGGGTGGAACACGGCAACTGCAAAACAAATGCTGCATTGCTTTGTGAAATCCCACAGCTAAGATCCACTGCGCTGTCTGTGCTAGAAGAAAACCTGTGGCATAAGAGCACAGTCTTCGTCACTGCCTTATTTTCTTTTTCTTCCTTCCAACTGAAATGTATACTTGTGTTGCATTAAAGCCACGCATTCCCCGGACTCCGGGCTGCGGTGCACGGGGCGCTGTTGGGCGCCACGGCGGCGGCGGAGGCGCGCGGGGCCGGGCTGGAGGCCGCGGTGCGCGCTGGCTGCGCGGCACCCGCGGGCGCGCCGGCTCCGCGCCCGCGGCCCCGGGCGGCGCGGCGGGAGTGAGCCTCCTGCAGAGCCTGCCGGTGAGCCGGGCCCGCTGGCGCGGGGGGACGAGGGGGCAAACGCCGCGTCCCACCCCGGCCTTCGCTGCTGAATTCCGTTAAACCGCTGCTCTCAATGGTTTTCAGATCGACGTGCAGCTGAACATCATGTCCTTCCTCTCGCCCCAAGATTTGTGCCGCTTAGGAAGCACGAGTTGTTACTGGAGGGCAGCTGTGCAAGACCCGTTGTTATGGAGATACTTTCTCCTGCGGGATCTCCCCTCTTGGACATCTGTTGATTGGAAATCACTTCCAGATGAGGAGATTTTTAAAAAAGCCTTTTCAGAGGTCAGCGGCAATGCACTGTATGATTACATGGCAGTGTAAGTATCTCCATGTTCTCCTACATGACTTCAAGTGTGCCTACAGCAGTAATATTCAGCCCACAGGCGCGTTCCATATTTACAGAAGTAAAGCTCTGTTGTAAGTTGCTGTTTAAATTTCGATGTGTCTCAAATCTATTGTTTATTTTGGAAATACAATTTCTTGTTGCTCCATGGTCTGGTCTGCTCTTTCTGTTTGGAACTCAGCAGGAATATAAAATATTGTAAAAAACACAAGGCTAATGCTATAAAAAATTACAGGTTTTTGTAAACTGTCAGTCTACTGTAGCACAGAAATACTGCATACTGTTGATCTTGGTAAAGAAGTGTTCTTTGCTCTCAGTGCCACAGCAGTTATTTTCATAAAAGTACGAAGAAGTCTTTGAGCTACAGCAAATGAAATGGATCTTCATTGTTTTTTATCTTTTTTGGAAGACCTAATAATAAAAAAGTGCACGGAATGTGCACAGAGTAACAAGCTGTATTGGTTTAGGTCTGATTGTCAAAGGCTGTAAGACGAAGACCGGTTTCTGGTAGTATATTGAAAAACATAGCAACACAATAAATATGTTTGGATGACTGAGAAGAACACTTAAGCTAGTTTGTGGTGATTTCTTTTCTAAACTTCATTCAGTTCCTTTGATTTGCAGTGGTGGTCTGTGGATTTGTTTGGGATTTTTGATTTATTTGCAGTTACATTTTCCAAAGGTGGTCCTTAACATGTTGCTTTGTGGTAAGTGCATTAACTTCTGCAATCTCTGTGCCCTTCATCCCCTTTTAACAGGTGGGAACAGTACACTCAGAATTTGATGTGCAAACTATGGACTGATTTTGAAATTGGATTTAAATCTGTTTAGGTCTGAACCGCCAATTTGAAGCCACCTGTCACTGATTTCTATTGTGTCTGCGTGCACTTGGCAGTTTTGCTGATTTAAACTGAAACATTTCAGCGTGGGTATAAAGCAGCCCACATTTGATGCTTCCTTGAAGAGATTTGTTCAGGAGCAGCCTACCATGACTCCAGAAGCAAACTGAAGCTGCTGCTCTAGAGCATCTGACTGTTTTTCCTTCCCCTCAATTAGCAGTCTTTCCATGCCTTATAGCATCCACACCAAATGAGTATGTAAGTTTGCAGGAAACACTTGTTTCCTTTCACAGTTTGCATGCTCTCTACCTACAGGGAGAATGTTTCTTTTCAGGTGGTTACTTGTTATAAACACAAAAGAGTTTAATTAGGGTTTAAAATGCACTCAAAAGGCTCACTTTTAAAATTTTACTTTTCATGTGACACTTCTGCTTTGATGTTATTTTACCTATATTGTGTATTCAGTGAGGATGGGGAATTTATTATTTTTATTTTTTTTTCAAGTAAACTGAAAGATCTGTAGATAGAAGTGTACTGAGGTCCAAAAAGTCAGTATTCAGATGTCAAAAGAACTGATGCTTTGTCTGCTTTGTACTGGTGCTTGAAACCATCAGTTTGGAACTTTATAATTTTTGACCTATTCTTTGAGTTGTACCAGTAGAAAAGCATAAGAAGTGTGGGACTTAATTTGTTTGATTAATACCTCTTTTGTATTTTATGTTTAATTTCTAGTTGCATCTATTTTAAACAGATATAAAAGGAGCTGTCCGCAGGGCAGAAGAAGTTGGAAATCGAACCGTCCCCGGTATGGGACTGTGACTTCCTTTTTGCAATCACTGGTCACTCAGGCAGAACCTCGCTTTGCTATGTTTGGGCCAGGTTTGGAAGAGCTGGACAACTCTTTAGTACAAAAGATGATGACATGCCCAGAAATTCTGCTGGTAGCTGGTTTACCTCATAGACAAATTCATGGTAATGGTGGTTTTGGCTTTTAGCTTCCTTATTTTGTAAATACATATAACACAAAAAAACTTTGAGGAAGAAATGAAGAAAAGGAATGATTTTTTTTGTATCCTTAAAATTCAGTAGTATCATGGTAAAAAAAAACCTGAAACCGTTTTCTCTCTGATTTGTTCAGAAGGCTAAATGCAGTGAACATTTGGGACAAACTTATAGCTTTAGTGAATTTATGATTAAATTTGGACATTGTCAGAAGAATAATTTTGTTCCTTGTACTTCTATTTTCATTCAAAATTCCATATTACTGCTGCTGTTGTGTTCAATAAATGCAGACAGGCCTTTTTTTCAGTGCTGCTTGCAGTAAGTGGCTAAAAACCACATTTGTAATTTTACACAGGAACTCAAAGCTGATCCTTATATGATTCAGTATTCTGGTATCAAATGACGTAAATTTTACTTAGAAGAGTTAAAAGAGCAGGTGAGGGATTTTTTTTTGATGTTTAAAAGAGTAGCTTTGAATGTCTAATTTGACTTATGTCCAAGCCAGAGACAAAAATGTGTTACTTTTTAACTAATGTTATTTAATCACAGCAGAACTCAAATAATTAAATTTATAGGAAGCATGGCAATTATTTTTAGTGGGTTTTTTACTTCTCTCATATGTCCTTTTCAATGCAGCTTGTCATAAGCAGACTGGAGCCTTTTCTATGCCAGTTTCAGCTAATAAATACAAATTTCTAATTTAAATTTCTAGGTTCAACTCTAATAATCAGAAATACAAAAATGGTTTTAATACCATTGACTAGATTTTAATGAAACTAAAAGTCTTGTCAGTTGGAGCATGCATAAAGTTTAATTGTAAAATAGTAAATCTGCCACCCCTAACAGCAATATCTAGGTTTGAATATATTCATTTTATGGCACCACTGGAATTTTTTGAACTACCACTTAATTGTATTCAGTAGCCAAATAGTTGTAATCTCATAGATTCATTTTTTCCTTGTAGGAATTGGATCAGGTGTCAGTTTTCAGTTTAACAGCAATCAAAAATTCAATATTGTGACACTGTATTCCACCACGAGGTAAGATAAGATCTGTTCTCCACCAAATGAAAAGTACAGTTTCTGATTTATTTCAGACTTTTCTTGATATTCTTTTCATGTGACTTTCATGTGCACCTTCTCATGCATGGATATTCCTTATAAATTGAAGTTTGAATGCCTGCCTTTGTTTTTCCTTTCTTTTTTCAACTCCTAAGCTTTCACATGGAAGTAATAAAACTTTTCCAAACAGTATATATACCAAAGGTATACAACAGGTACATTACAGGTGCTTCTATCCCTCTTAATCCCTTGATTAAGTCCCTTTTGAAACACTCTATGAACTCATCCTGGAGTGTATTTTCATAAACATCTTGCAGTTTGCCAACCTTCTCTGTTTGTGCCCTCAGAAAGAAAGGAGGGCAGGAGGGGACAGGGAGAAATTAAACCATTTTCCTGGCCTAGCCCATTTTCCTGTCCCTTTCCTGCACCACGTAGATGAAATTTCAAGATTCTGTTTTGGCATTCTCAGTTAACCTGACTACTGAAATACCTTTCAGTGTGGAAAGGAGGAGAGCAAGGGAAGAGCAAGCTGTTGCTGTGAATAGGATGTTTTACCAAGAGAACAGCACAGTAGGGAACCAGCAAGCCATGCACTACAGTGTAATAGCTCAAGTGAGGAAGGTGTGCGAAGTAGTTGATGGATTCATTTATGTTGCTAATGCAGAAGCTCATAGAGGTAAGGGGTTTCTCTTTATTTATATTTTGTGAATAGCTGGAGTATTAGATTACAAAGACCATACAACACATCAAAATCCATGTTCTGATCCTTTCAAAATATGCTATTTCTTTACGTTTTACCATGTTGAAGAGATCTCCCGTTCTAAACATTCTCCCATCAACATCTTAGGGATTGTGGCTCCTTGTTTTCTTTATGGCACATACTGATATAGTTGCTATCTAAATTACATGTGGGAAATTACATGGGTTAAAAAAAAAAACAAAAACCCACAGGTATGTATAGGGGGAAACTTGAAAATACATGGTTTGTGCTATGGAAACAACCTTCACCAGGAAACCAGTAAAAAATGCAATTAGTCTAAATCAGTTTAGTCCTGTAAGATGATAATCCAGTTAACAGTTATGGTAATTGTCTTTACATTCATCAGCTTTGAATGGAGGAAGAGGGCTATGTCAGAGACAGGCAAAAAACTTTGAAGGGGTACACTAAGAGAAAAGTACATTCAGTAGGGATGCTAGGATTGAAATAGGCTGCCTGTAGAATGTATGGGCATCTTTAACATCTTGATGTCATCAGTATCTGTGTAACATAAAGGCAGGTAAGTCTTGTATTAAGCAGAACAAGATCATTTACCCCTTCTAGTCCTCTGTCTAATTGCCTCTCAAAAACAAAACAAAACAAAAACACTTTGTTTTTGCATATACTTAAGACTCATATATTAAATATTGTTTCTTAGAGCATGATCGTCAGGAGGAGCTGGCTCGTATTTTGGCAATGATAGATCCAGCTCTTGGGCCTCCGAACAGACCTCTGCTGATTTTGTCCTGTGTGTCTCACGTTGGTGTGAAAAGAATTCCATGTGTTTATGTGGCACATCAGTTGCAACTAAATCTGCTGCATCAGCCCTGGATGGTACTTACTCTTAAACCTTTATTTTCTGTTTCTCTGTGGTTTAAATTTAATTTAGGCTCTCAGTTTCCTTAACTATACCTACCTAACCGAGTGTGCAGCTTTCAACACTAGTACAGAAGTTTTCCATTTAAGTGAAATATCTTGTTTCTCTGGTGCTACAAGATGAATTATTAGCCTGTCTGAAAACAAGGAGCTAAGTGACTTGCCCAAAAGCACAGAAGAGACTTAAGCTGGAACTAGAATGTTAGGAAGGACAAATCATGGTCTTGAAGGGAGTAAGGAAGATTCAGTTCATTTAAATATAAATTTCCTGAATCACAGGCTTGGACACAAGATAGATTTTTGTGACATTTTTAAAAGACTGTTCACTGTCACTCAGTTGATTTGATGTCTTCAGATTTTGACAGATCAGTTTTCTACCTAGAATGTGAGTCCTGAACCTGTTTTTACATTTGTCAAGCGCAGTATCTATCACCCTGGTTCAGCCACACAGAATTAATTTTTGTTGATGTTCTGTAGCTGAGAAATAACTTAATCAGAAAAAAAAAATCCTGATTTGAGGTAATTTCTTTGTTTTCGTAAGGAAAATGTTCATAGGCTTTTTACAAAACATACCATTTATAATAGTCTAATAATATAACTGGATGGGATATTACAAAATCTGAGTGTTAATGATATGCATAGAAGTCTAAAGCTCGCAGCATTTTTGCTTTAGGAGTAACAAAAACATTTTTCAAGTGGATTGCCATCTGTGCTGATGAAATGATTGTATCAGAGTGAATTGATACTCTTAGTACCAGAGTAAATTGAAACAAATTCACTCTGCTACTAAGAGTGAAAGCTTTCTTAACATGAGGGAGTTTTTTTAATTTGTTTTCTTACTCCTGTAAAACCTTTTTTTGTCTAAGTGACCTTTACACTAGTGATAAAAATTTAGATTTTATATGAGTGTTTCTGACTTTACAGATAGAGAGTGATATTAAGATCCTGTTAGATCCTGTTAGTTGTTACCTCTAATACATTAACTTTTTCTTTTAATTTAATTTTCACAGATGCAGGACACTGTAGCTGCAACTTTAGGTGGATTGCTAAATGGAATTGAGTGGCTCTTGGAAGAAGCAAATTATAAAAGTGCTCAGTAGTAGGATTAGGCATTGTTGCACTGTATAAACCTTTTGGTATTTTCTATTTCAGTTGAAATAAGAATCTTGTCCTTCTGGCAAGAGTACTGTCAGATGGGAAAACTAATAAGGCAAACCTGCATATGTTTCACTGCGCATACTCAAATCCTTAACATATTCCAACTATAGTCCTCAATGAGAAGTACAAGTTGGATTGCTTCGATTCTAGCTGCGATAAAGAAGTGATTTGGAGAGACAATCTGAGTGTTTTGTTTTGTTATTTTTCTCTCATTTCAACCAGAGGCCTTTCGAGTACCATCTTTTCCAATATATCTGCTGGTCTAATATCTTCTATAAATAAATATGTAATACTGTATTAATTTATCAGCACAGCCTTATCATACGTTTAGTAAATACATTCAGTGGAGATCTTTACAGTGACACTTCCTGACCAAAGAAAATATACTATAGGTTGTACAGTAGGCTGACAGAAAGACAGTAACTCTTGATTTCAGAAAAGTGAGTTCCCCTGTATCTTTCTAGAAAAAATGCCTAGATAAAAAATAGTGGGGGGAATTTTCAACCCAGACCAAATTTCTTAGAAGCAAATTCCTGCATATGAATTGTTGTTTCTTTGTTGTGATCTTACTTACTAACCAACCACAACAGACTTCAGCATCTTTAGCTTTCTGTTGCACTGAAATCATTATCTTGAACTGGATATGCCTCTGATTCTATGAACAAATGTTAAATAGGTTAATTCAGAACTTCATTGCACACTTAGACTATCAAGTTTCCCAAACAGTTGTGGCCATTTGCAGATGTGAATTACGCCTGTCATGAAATTTTCTACACAGTTGCAAATAATTTTATCAAAAGCAAAGAACCATTTTAAAGCTGGAATTGTGTTTTCCATATTGATGTCTTTCAGGATATTTATCGTCGTCCACCTTTTCATGTTGTTATTATTGGGTGAATATTCAGAAGCTTCACTTGGATTTCTTGCCAGGGCATTTATTTGCTTTATTCTTGGCTTTTTTTTTTTTTTCCTTTCTCCTATCATCATGGAAATTCAAGTGTCTCACAATGTTTTCCTGGTACCTAGATAAATGATTGCATAGTGCATGTACAGCTGTAACTACTCTCCATCTGGGATACTTGGGTGATGATCAATACAGCCATGTCAGAAACAATTCAATTTGAGAAGATGTTTGGGAATTTTAATGAACTAGAAAGTATATATAATTTTTTTCATCTTTATGTGCAAGTAATCAATTTTTGCATATATTAGGACACACCAATGAAAATTCTGTGCTTTGTCCTTTTCTTTTTTTTTAATAATGTATGTCTGTTTTGCCCTTTAAAATAGAGCAGACACAATGGATTTATGAATATTTGGGGTAGAATTCCATGCTTTGTGACTGGGTGTGTGTGATTTTTCTCCTAATCACATGAATTTCGTAGTGGTCTATATGTAGGGGATTGAATGCAGCAACCTGATTCTGTGTTATGTATGGAGGGATTATGGAAGATCCTTTTTCTAATTTCTTCATAAGGAATAAATACTTACTTAAAGAATGATGTTTAGAGTCTTCCAATGTGTGTTAACCCCTTACATGTGTCCACATGTGCTCACACACTGCAGTCACACTGTCATAACAAATTACCATTGTCATCAATAGTCGTTAATGAACAAGGTTATTGAATGTTACCAGTTTAATTAAGATAACGCACTGTAATTTCAAATTGTTAGGATAATGTAGAGTATGTAATTTTTCTGAAAGAACATCTGTTAGATTAACTTAAAGCTAGAGTGGACTCTTGAAGCAAATGTGAACCTCTGAATACTGTGGTTCCGGTTTTCCAAGAGGAGCCTGGCCGGGAAAAGAGGCAAGCGAGTGGAGTTACGAGTGAGTGTGGTATCCCGAGGGACCCTGGGAGTGGGAGAAGGGGGAGTGCTTCCTTTTTGCCGTCCTTGCCCACATAGGCTCCCACTCCTCCAGGGTTGGGGCTCTCAGGGGTGCCTCTGGCCAAGTAGCGAAGGAAGCGGAGTTGGGGTTTTGGATGGGACAATTTTCTGACTTGTCAGAAAGGCCTCCAGGACCAGGGTCTGAGCTGCAGTGACAGGCATTGGGGCGGCTGGCTGGAAGGGGCTGGACATCGCTGGACCCTTGATCAGGAAGCTGGCGCACGTGGTGGGGCCCAGACAGGGGAGTTCCACTGACTGAGATGACCTGGAGGATGGTTCCCTAAAACAAGCACAGGGAGAGCTCCAGGAGTCTAGGGAAGTAGGACCCTTGCAGGCAAGGCGAGAGACTCCTAACTGGAGACCCACTGAGTGTGTGGCCACCAGTTCAGGGGTTGTTCCTCTTTGGGCAGGAGGAGGAAGTAGGTGCCTGACCAAGGGGGGCTTAGTACTTCAAACCAGTGACTCTGTGTGCAGCAAGCTGGGGGGCTGGCTGAGGGAAGAGCACCTCACAGTGTGGCAATGGGCCGGGGAGGGTGAAGGCTTCCAGTTGGGAGAAGTTGAGTAATCATTAGGAGTGAGGGGGAGGTTTAGAACCTGCCAGTTAGGGTTACAGTTTGTGCATATATTTATCTATCTTTTGAGTCTAAGACTACTTGGGTGCATTCTGTTAGTGGAATTTCTTTCATGAATATAGTCCTTCATTTTATTTATTATTAGTTTAAGCTCATTTAGATTTATTGGGGTGTGTGGAGGTGGGAGGCTGGTGAAATTCTGGGGTGAGGTGGAGGCCAAAAGTCCTCAGTCCACTTCCCGGCATTGTTTGACTGAATGTGAAGTTTTTTGTTTGTGTTGGGGCTTTGTTTACTTTGGTGTGTACTGTGATTTTGTGGGATTAGGTATTTGAGTAAACATTTTGCTAATTGTTTAGTGTGAGGATTTAATTTATTAATTTGAGCCCAGAGAATTTTCAAAATTATTTGTTCATTAAGTTTGGGGTTCTTAGTTCTTAAGAGGATAAGATGTAAATGATAACTGAAGGCAACAACTAGTACAGAATAAAGGGTTGTGGTGTATGGCTCCTCCTGCCAACTGGGAGAAGCCGTTTTGTTATCGAGGAGAGACATCTTGGAAAGGGAGGGTTCTGCCCAGGAAGAGGCAGTGGCCTGGTGATGGTTGACTGGCACTGTGGGTTGCATCAGAGGGTGGATTGGAAAGGTCTGGGGATGTATCCAGTCAGGCAGCGATCTTGTTTCACATCAAGTTCCCACAGTTCACTCTTTTCCCACAGGCTACCATTTTTCTTTTTTAGCTACCCTGGTCTATTTGTTTCCCATCATAGAATGTGTCTGGCTCTCAGTGGCCATGGGAGGGAGGTTCTCTGGCTCGCTGTCCTGCTTGTGGCCGGAGGGCAAACACCTGAGTGGCCAGCCCCGAGTTTCTGCCCAGACTGGTGCGGGTGTTGGTGATCGCTGCGGCGTGGGGAGCGCAGCAGAGGCACAGAGCACGAGGAAACCGAGGCAGAGGAATAAGGGAAGGACACTTGGCTGAGTCTGCAAAGATTTAATCTCCAAGGGGGGCAGAGCAAGTGACAAAGCCGAACATGAAGGGACTTTTAAAGGGCAGAGGGAACACGGGGAGGACACAACCTGTGAGCAATAGCGGGGCATTAGAGAGGGGTGCAGGGTAAGGGCTCCCCAGTAGAAACCAACATGGGGAGGGAGCAAACCTCACAACCCAATTCTGCTACCAGGAAGGGATGAGAGACAGGGAACACTCCAGAACCAAAGGACTGTGCTATCTTTGACAGACAGGGGTAAGACAAGGGAACAAGGGAGGTATACAGGGAGACAGACAGGTAGATTGACATACATTTTGACAGGGAAAACTGTGGTAAACAACTCAGGACTGAACCATTAGGGAAACCAAATGGGGTACATAGAATGAACCACTACAAACTTTTAACAAGGAATATTAAAACATACTACAGAAAAACCAACTGTAAAATAACGGACTACCACAGTAGAGTTCCCTTCCATAACTACTCTGGTTTCTCACACCTCTATACTTTACTCACATATAGATATTTCTTTTAATTTAATTTAATTAGTTTTAACTATAGTCTGGTCACCACCCCAAAAATGTATTTATTTATTTGTTTTCATAAGAAACAACCATGGGCCAATGTGCAGGCAAGAACTGCTGTAGGGGAAGAATCAAAAAAACGAAACTAAGAGATATTCCACCTAACAGTCCACTGGGAGAAATGTTAGATAATTGGGATAATGATAAAACTTTAAAGGAATTAGATAAAACTAAAATGATAAAATACTGTGTTGAAATTTGGCCACAGGAAAGTATTTAAGAAGGACCCATCTATTTGCCTTGGTATAGGTCAAAAGAAAAAAGAGAAGTGGTTATACCTAGCCCTAAATAGGTGTATCAATTTAAGAGAGATTCCAAACAAAGAAGAAATACAATACACAACGTGTTGGTTAGAAAATGAAACTTGAGATAAGAGGATTAGAGTATATGAAGTATCTAAAGAGACTGAAGAGGAAAAAGAGGAATTTGAAAAGAAGTGGAACTCACTGGACTGTCTCCCACACCCTCCTTCTCCTGTGCTCCCAGCAGCCCCTTCTCCTACTTCTTTGTTACCTCTTCCTATCCAACCCCTACCCCTCCCTGCCCCTCCACTACCTCTTCCTATCCAACCCATGTCCCTTCCTGCCTCTCCAGTATCCCAAACAGCCCCCTCCCCTATTATTCACCCTACACCCCTCCCTGCTCCCATTGCCCCACAGCCTCTCCCCTTTAATCCTCCTCAGATACCCCAAGTTTCACTTGTACCTCCTCCTGCTCCTTCTATACTTCAGCCCTTCCTCCCTATTATCTCCCTAATACCCCAAATTTCCTCAGGAGTATAATTTACTAGTAAAGAGATTATAAATCAAATGTAAAGAGAATATAAAGTAAAGAGATTATAAATCAACAGAATTCCCCGAGTGAAGGTGTAACTCATTCTTGTGATTGTACAATTGCGGTGAGACCAAAGGAAGAAGCTGTGGTTTCAGAGGGTCATCCTTACAATACCTGATCCCAGGTGGGGAAGTGTTTACTGAAGAGAGAGATAGTGGAAAAATTACTATGCTTAAGGGAAGTCCCAATGGGAGGCACCCAGCGGAGGACTGGATTTGTGAATGCACCCTTGATTGCCTCTGAAGTCAGAAATTTTAAGAGAGATTAAAACCTTATTAGATGATCCCAGAGGTATAGCCAGCCAGGTTGATCAGTTTTTGGGCCCAAGTATATATACTTCGGAGGAATTTAATTCAATATTAGGCATTCTTTTTTCCCTGAAGTAATCCAGCTAACACAAGCAGCTGTTATAAGGATATGGGAAAGGGAGAACAGGCCTGCCCCCCCGGAGGATGAAAAAGATGCCTTTCAACCATCCTGATTGGGACTTGAATGATGAAGTCAGACACAGAAACATGAGAGATTATAGATCGTTAATCATCAAAGGTATTCCAGAGGCAGTCCTAGGAACAGTAATGCAAGGTTGGCTTTTGACAGCCAACAAGCAAAAGATGAAATCCCCAGTGCTTGGTTAGCAAGACTGAGGCAAAATTTTCAATTGTATTTGAGTGTAGACTCTGAGAGTCCAAAGGGACAAGTGCTAGTGAGGGTGCCATTTGTGACAAGATCATGGAATGACATCACAAAGAAAGCTAAAAAAGGTAGAGGACTGGCAGGAGAAAGGTCTGAATGAATAGCTGCAAGAGGCACAGAAGGTATATTTGAGAAGGGAGGAGGAGGAGATGAAGTCAAAGGCAAGGATCATGACTGCAGTGGCTAGAGAGAGCCAGGATAGAGAAAGAGAGGAACAAAAGGGAACGGATAAACAGAAAAAGGAAGACACTTGAGAACTGTACAAGTACTCCTGTGAGGGGAAGTGTTTTTATTTTAGGGAAAAGGGTCACTTCAAAAAGAATTGTAAGAAATGGAAAAGGGACAGGAGGCTGTACAGGGAAATGGATATTGGGGCAAATGACAATTTAGGGGTGTCAGGGGCTCTATCCCCTGGGGAAAATGAATAATCATAAGATAGAACCCTTGACAAATTTGGAAATAGGTCCCCAGGGGGAAGAATTAGAATTTTTAGTTGATGCTGGGACTGATAGATCATATATTTCAAGATTCCCAAAAGGATGCCAATTCGTAAGATGTGCAAAGAAAGGGCTGCCAATAGTGAAGCATTTGAAGTGGCAATTACAGAGTAAGTTGTTGTTAGGGAAAATTCAAGACAGGGATATGCGGATTTGTTATACATGCCCAAACTAGAATGTAATTTATTAGGCTGGGAGCTACAGGTACCACTGGGGGTAGGAGTTATCCCTAAGGAAGGACAGATGGTAGCAAAGATGATGATGCTCAAGTCAGAAGATGAAAGTGAGATTTATTGCAAAGTCTGGGCAGAAGAGGGAAGTCATGGCCTACTAAACATAACCCTCTTCCCTCCCGCCCTCCCCCCCCCCAGAGGTGCAAATGAAACCAGGAATTTCACCTATCCCTACAAGGTAAAACAGTATCCCATTTCAGCAGAAGGGAAGCA